GATGCGACTTTGATCTTTGCGTCGCTCCTCGTCACGTCTAGCATTTTCTTGGTCCACTTCAGCAAGCTTACGACGAGCAGCTACATGATCTTCTTGCATCTCTAACAGTGAAGACGAAGAAGAGGAGCTTCCATAACTCTCTTTTCTCTTCCCTTTTTTGATCGTCTCTTTCAGCTGTCCAAGTCCAAACGGGTTTCCCTTATTATCTGTGAAAGTACACTAAACACAAAAACATTTTTAGCTGTAAAGAAGGTTTACTCAAAACATTTACTCAAAAGAAGGTTTACTCAAACATTTTTAGCTGTCCAAGTCGATCAAAACAAAAGAAGATTATAAACATAGAAACTAGAATACAATTAACTGTTTACTCAAAACCAGAAAATCAACATCAAGTAATCTCAAATTTCTCTCAAACGTCAAAAAGAGCAATCAAAACCAGTCAATAAACATCAGCAAAATCAGACAAAGAACATAAGCAAAACCAGAAAATGAACATCAACAAAATCAGACATAAACATGAGCAAAACCAGACAATGAAATTCAGAAAACCAGACTCTACTCTTAAGCAAAATCAGACATAAACGTGAGCAAAAACAGACAATATTACTCAGAAAACAAGACTCTCAACATCAGCAAACCAGAAACTCAATAACAGTAAACTAAAGTCGAAATTACCTTAAGAAATATGTCATCTTTTTCTTGAATGGTGAGGGTTCGTTGAGTTGATTGTTGAGACGAAGGATCTGAAGTTTCGGAACCATCAACATCTATTTCAGACAATTTCTCCTCTAAGTTCTTCTCATAAGCATCAACGACATGTTTAGCCTTTTGATCAACAAAACTTCCATCTGACCTTGTGTGTGTTGACATAAACACTTCTCCAAGGGATACAGGACGCCCCAATTTTTCCTCCTATAATGACACAAACACATATAAATTATGTCAAAAGAAATACTTAAAGGAAGTGATAAATGTCTTACCAGATTTTGTCGAACTTGCACGTATGATTTCTGTCCAGATAAGTGTTTGTGGACTCCAAGACCGCCACGGTCGGAGTTACTGCACTCTGATGCATTACTGCTCTTATAAACAGCTTCAGGAGTGTCCCAATGGTTCCACATTTCAACCCAAAGATTTGGGTGAATCCAAACAGGCATCTCACCACTCTTCTTAGCTTGAGACACAATTCCCTTCATCCGTCTTCTAGCGATAGTCAGGAAGTTTTCTCTCACCAGATCGGTAATCCCGCTGTCCCAGTTGTATTTCCGCTACGTAATACAACATTGATAAGTATAAATGATTATAATAATTACTAAGTAATTCATAATGTAGACTGTATATAATTTAATATTACCGCAAAGGTTCTGAAGTATCTTTCTTGGATGTGTATAGGCGTCACTTTCCAGCTGAAGTAGGGACCATCGAACTTCCTCCGAAATATTCCAGATATGACTCGAGCCAGTTTCCCGTCGTCTTGTCCAAACCTAGTAGATGAATATCAAAAGAAATTAGTCAATACATGAAATGCGAAATTCCAAAACATGAAAAGGTAAATAACTATCACAAAAGGGAATTAAACAAGCTACGAAACAGTCAAACTTTAGACTAATGAAGTTAAAAAAACCATCTCTAATTAAATACAAAACATGGGCTGAGAAGCTATGAAACAATCACACTTTATCCATTGTCATTTGATAAAAACGTGGGCTGAGAAGCTATGAAACAGTCAAGCTATGAGACTAAGAACTAAGAACTCATTGTCATTGAGCTCTTATAATCACAGACCCAAAGACTCCAATAATAAGACCCAAAGACTCCAATAACTATCACAAAAGGGAATTAAACAAGCTACGAAACAGTCAAACTTTAGACTAATGAATTTATAAAAACCATCTCTAATTAAATACAAAACGTGGGCTGAGAAGCTATGAAACAGTCAAGCTATGAAACGCAAAAAATGTAAAGTGTAAATACTTAGTTATATCACGAAATTATTTTCGACCGGGGGAAATAAATTCCCGCTTAATATTTGCTGAAAATCTGAATTTTTTGTATCAGTCACAAAACGGTCATACATATTAGTAGTAGCTAATCCGTTGCATATTAATAAACTTAGTCACAAGCTCGTCGCAAAGTGTAACAATATTGTCACGCTATTTTGAGAGTCACAAACTTATATGAATTTTAATAGCCAAAAAATACATATATGACTTATAATCAATCATATTGATAACATAGAGTCAAAAAATCTGTTTAAAGAAAAAACAAATGTATTACAAAACAAATTTTGAATGATATACAACTTTGAAGAATATTCAAAGATAACACATGTAACACTTAATACATGATATGGTATTTACAAATATCTTATATAATATGAGAAGGTTTTCATTCATCGTTGCATAACACGACGACATTTGGCATCATGTACATTCGACACCTGTCCACACTTCTCATTAATTCTCAATTATTCTATTTAATCAAAGCTTAAGTCTAATCTCTTCTGTAACGTCTTCTTATTTTTAGGAAATTGAGATGTAAAGTTTTGAATGAAAAAACAAACATAATTAGATTTTTATTTGTCTAACTCTAAACCAAAACGTAGTTCTCATGCATTTATTACATGTTCAATTGATTTTAGAAGAATAAAACGTTTACAACAAAAACCTAACAATAAATAACGTCTCACGTTTCATGTCTCAAATAAAACAACTATATTCTCCTATGTTATTTCACTTATTTATATTCGTTTCTTATCTATGTTTTTCTCTTTTTATTTCAAGTAGTACTAATATTCCAAATCCTCACAATTCAAGGAGTTGCAAAGAGAAAGAGTTAGTTTGTCAATTAATCCTATAAATTCTAGCTCCCTATAATTCAATCTCTATTCATATTTTGCAAAGGTTTGCTCTCTAACTCTTTAGATTTATTTCCTTACCTTACTCCATGTTCATGAAAATCATCTATTTGTTTTTTTTTTCCAGCAAAATAACATTATTCTCTGTTCCTCAACATAATATTTTATTAAGAACATTTATAAACATCCGATTCATATTCACACTTTCTTTCCAAACAAAATACCACCAAATCTGCACCTTTAAATATGTGAATCTATATATATATATAGAGTTTTCTCTCCTCTTAGGGTGTCTACATCATCACCAAGTTTATCTGATAGACCCCACCAATAATTATTTCAATATATTTAATTTTATAGTTAATTACATCTAATTATTTAAAAATTAACTAGATGAACAATAAACTTGGTGAATACACGGGTTTGTCAATGTCAATATTAAACTTGCTTGATAAAATACATGTTAAACAAGACATGTAAATTTTCTTTAAAAAATATTAAAGTGTATTAAAAATATCATTTAATTCATATTTATTTATAATAAATGAAAATAATTTTAAATACATAATAAAAGAGTTAAGTATAATGATGAATATCAACAATTATATACAAAGCAATGACGTATTTATTTATTATTTTTTTCTTTCCAAAAGCTTTATTAATGTTGACAATCAATATCGTTGTTTACAGACCTAGCTCTCTTTGCAAGTAGATCAGCACATATGTTTTGTTCTCATGGTGTAAATTTGAAGGTGATCAAAGTGAACCGTTTTCTCCATTCCCAAATTGTTTCAAGGTAGTGTTATAATCGTGGGTGTGGTGTTGTGCCGTTAATGATGCGGTTTATATTTTGGTTATCACCGTCGAATTCGACCATCCCGTATCCCAAACCCCAGGCGGATTGTAGAGCCCAAATAAGAATTGTGCATTCTGCCTCCTATGTTGTAGTGCGTCCTTGAAACTTGCTTAATCCACAAACATGAAACACCCCAACTGAATCTCTAATAATCCATCCTAAGCCAGAGACTTTGTTTCCTTCATGATGTGAGACATTGATTAGGAGGTTTTTCTATCAATTAATATTTCCTCAAGGTCCAAAAACCACAATCTAATGGTTATCGTTTATAGCACTTAAGGGTCGAATCCACAGGGAACTAGAGATCTAATACACTAAGAATACACAAAATTTCTTAATCTAAGCAAATATAGGATTGGTTTTAAACTAACAACCTAAATGAAATGAAAACAAAAGGAACTAAAATGCAAATGAAATAAACAAACCAAAAGAAATTGACAAAGCTAAACAAGTGTCTAATCTAAGCAATAACCCATAAACATAAAGCAATAGCAAAATAAATGAGAAAGATGCAATTTATAAAAGTCAACAAAAAGTCAACGAAAGTCAACCAAAAGGCAAAGACGAAAATACTAAATGAATAAGCCTTTGGGTTAAGGTTATTGACTTGGGTGGTCAAAGGATAGTCTATGATGCTAATACAATCAATCATTTGCTAATCCTTAGGTCTAAGATCACTAATTTAAGCTAATCCACTTCCATGGTAATAACTCTACACTAATCAAGCAATTAACATCAATTTCCATTGGCAATCACAAGACTAATATGCATTAATTTCAAGCCTAACTAACCACCTAGCACCCTAATCATCAATTTCCATTGGCTAGGAATGTTAAGCACTCACTAAGTTCTTTCGGGAATTTCATCAAACACCTTCCGGGCATGAAACTTCCTATGATCTAGACTAGCTTAATCAAGACTAATCTAGCACTAAGAGCACCTAGAGAGTAAGGATATATTAAGACTAAGTCCTAAGCATCACAAATCATCACCTAATCACCCTAATCTACTTGACCCAAAAGCTCTAAAAAGACTACTCACTTAAAGCCATGAAAATCCAAGGAGTTGACACTAATCCTTGAAGATTCATGTTAGAAGAAGAGTATAAGAGATAGATAGAAGTTGAATCTAAAGAAATACTTATATAAAAGCAAGAATCACAAAGGTTTGAACTTGATTACAAAGAGAAATTAAGAAAACTAGGCTTAGGTAGCATAAGAAATCTAGAAATTAGGTTTAGACACATTTATAGGAAAAGAAAACGAACCGGGTCAACCCGGAACAAACCGGGTTTTGACCCGGTTTAAGTACCCAATCGACCAGGCAATCGACCAGTCAATCGACCTAGCAATCGACCAATTGGTCGACTGCTTCCTCGATTCCTTCTCGTCCGCGGGTCTGGTTTGGTCCCAATCGACCAGTCAATCGACCAACTGGTCTATTGCTTTCATCCTCCTCTTGATTCTTTGATTCTTCACTTCTTTTAACTCCATTTGCTTATAAAACTCAATGCTCCACTCCAAGAACCTAAAAGTAAGAAATGCTATGGAAATATGCACCTAAGGACCTAAACAAGAATGCAAAATGATGAAAAACCAAGAGAAACAAAGCTTAAAAAGGAGCAAAAACACAAGATATCAACTCCCCCAAACTTATCTCTTGCTAGTCCTCAAGCAAGGGCTAAGAAATAAGATGGAAAAGAAGTTTGAAAGCGGGGATTCATAGCCACAAATTAAAATATCAAACAAAGGATTCAACTCAAAGTCCTTAAAAATAGTTCAAATTTGCTTGAGTCAATCATCATACTCTTTCGTACTTTTCCATACTCATTTCAATGCATGATTCTATTTCAATTTCTAACTATTAGTAAAGACTCACAATCAAATTGAAACATCTCTTTAACATTCATTCAAGTGTTTGGCGCGGTCTCGCAAATGGAAAGTAAATCATTCTTAATCGGTTTTGGTAAAGGTTTTTGGAGGTGGTTTCAAAAGATTCATACTTTGGTGGCTTTCTCTCAAGAAAAAGAATGCTAGACAATCATGAAATCCATCTAAGACCAAGAACAATTTATGTATACAAAGTTAAGCTCTTGTTGTTCTACCCGCCTAAGATGTAAACTCCTATTTCTACTCTCTTTGCGAATTATTTTCCTCTTCTTTTCTACCCCAAACACTAGACACTTTGGTCTTTTTAAATCACCAACCTCAAGATCACTTTCTTTTTGTAGTCACCTAGGGAAAATTTCTCTTAAATACTTAGCTCTTTTTTATCTCTTTACTTTGTTTTTCTTTGCTCCCATTACTTATAACCTTGTAAATTTCTTTTTCTTTTGGGGAACTAACTTCACACTTTTCTTTCTCTTTTAACTTAGAGACTTAGAGCTTTTATTTTAACTTTATTCCCTAGGAACTCTTTATTTGCATGGTCAAACCTTTCTTTTCATTTTTCTTTCTTCCTTTTTCCCAAACCCAATCCCAAATATTCAATCTAACCACCCAACTCTTTCATTCCCAACCTATTAGCTAGTCAAAGGGTTTCAAAAAGCTAGCTAAAACAAGAGCAAAAACTTTGTCGTTCTCAATACTCTCAAGGTTTCAAAATCTATAGCATTTTCAAACAAGAGGCCTCACTCACAATCAATCATAGGTTTGAAAGAAAAGGTTTGAGGTTAAGGGTAGGGAAACCATTCTAAAGGTGAGAATGGCCATTCGGGTTTACAAAAGAGTGGCAAAGTGGATAAGAAAACCCGAATGAGTCTTTTAGACAACCATGAGAATGCATTTAAAATCCATGAGCGAGAAGATTAAAATCAAATTAAGTTCAAATTCATAGAGATGTTTCAAAGTCATGTAAGCTTCACACAAGTAGAAATTGCTTTTGAAAAACGCAAAGGTCTAAGTATGAATTTTCCATTTTTTCTTAGATGATCAAGCAACGATTAACTATGATTAAAGGCTTTAAGTTCAATCCTAAGCTTGAATTTCTACAAGGTAATTGAATCATTAACCCCTATGCATATGCAAATGCAACTAAATGCTTCTAGACTCAATATTAGAACAAAAAAAAAAAAAAAATGAATATGCAAAGCTACATGATTCTTTTTGGATTTTTCAAAATTTTCAAATTTTTTTGATTTTTTTCTCAAAACATAGCTATTGACAATGCAAG